TTGACCCTGGATAGTGTTTGGATGGGGGACTTCTGAGGAAGCCCAGGGTTGCTACGCAGAGGCAGGCAATGGCAAAACGCCTCTGTTCATCTCTTGCCTTGACCTGAATAGCCCAGTCTCACCAGAGCTCAGAAGCTCAGCAGGGTTGACCCTGGATAGTGTTTGGATGGGGGACTTCCGAGGAAGCCCAGGGTTGCTACGCAGAGGCAGGCAATGGCAAACCGCCTCTGTTAATCTCTTGCTTTGACCTGCGTAGCCCAGTCTCACCAGAGCTCAGAAGCTAAGCAGGGTTGACCCTGGATAGTGTTTGGATGGGGGACTTCCGAGGAAGCCCAGGGTTGCTACGCAGAGGCAGGCAATGGCAAACCGCCTCTGTTCGTCTCTTGCCTTGACCTGAATAGGCGAGTCTCACCAGAGCTCAGAAGCTCAGCAGGGTTGACCCTGGTTAGTGTTTGGATGGGAGACCTCCGAGAAAGTCCAGGGTTGCTACGCAGAGGCAGGCAACGGCAGACCGCCTCTTTTCATCTCTTGCCTTGAAAACCCCGAGGCAGGGGTGTCAAACATGTGGCCCGGGGGCCGGATCAGGCTTCCATCAGGCCCGCAGTGGAACTGGCCCTCTCCTGCTTCCAGTTCTGCTGCTGCTGCTGCTGCATCATCGCTTGCTCCGCCAGACTCTCATAATCACTCGGCCATTTCATATTTTAACCTGGGTCCTAGACTCAGAACTCTTGAGCGTGAGATTTCTGTGGTGAATGTCAACAAATCAGAAGTAGGTTTGCAGCTGACAGAGCTAGTGGTTTAAGCATCTTTGTGTCTGTGTCCTTTATAAGGTCTGTACCTCCGCTACCTGGCATTACCTTTTGTGACACACGAGGCCCGGCCCAACAAGATCTCACTTATGTCAGATCCGGCCCTCGTAACAAATGAGTCCGACACCCCTGCCCTGAGGGTTTTCCATAAGTCAGCTCCCATAAGGCAGAAAAAGAGAGGGGATCCCTGAGGGTCCGCCACTCGGGGAGAGAGAGAGAGAGAGAGAGAGATGACTCTCGCTGCTGTCTGCACTGGTCACCCTTTTCTGACCTCTTTCCTATTCTGCGCATTCAGCAGAACCCGGCGACGATGCAAAAATGACTCTCTTCCGCATGCTGTTAGGCATCCAGAGTGGCATTTATAAAAATGCCCAAAAGGACGGAGCTGTGGGAAAGGGGGTGTGTGCGCGCTCCTCGTCCTCCTCCTCCTCCCAGCAGAGGCAGGTTCTGCTAGGGCCCAGCGGATAGGGGGCAGGAGGTTTGTGGGCATCAGATGTCCTGGCCTGGAGCGTCTGAGGTGAGGGCAAAGGGGAGGCATCTCTGTCCGAGACCCAGGAGAGCTCTTGCCAGTGAGAGTGGACGATGGGGTGCCACGGGCCTGACGTGGAGAAGGCAGCTCTATATGCTAGTTTTGTGGTTGAGGTCACCGGGGTAGAGATCCGGGAAACGGATCGCCCAAGATCTCACGTGACAGCCCCACCCCCACCCCCCGGACATGCCAACTGAAGAACAGATCCATCACCCTGCAGGGGTTACACAGATGTACAACAAAATGCATCGGTTGCGGATGGCTGCACCTAGGGGGGCGGGTGCGCGGACCGCGAAGCCCACCTCTGCCCCCCCGGCAAGAAACTGCGCGGCCGCCTCGCCCTGTGCCCCCCGCCAGGAACCAGACCGGTTGGCTCGGTACGAATGAGAACTCCACTTGGACTCCTGGAACATCGAGCTAAACAAAGTTACACCTGAATCAACACGAGCTCTACACCCAAAACGGACGCTAGCTGGGGGTGTGTATTTCGGGGTACATACAGTGGGGGTGGGTGGGTCAAGAAACCGGTGCATTGATCCATATATATACACACACACATACATACACACACACATTCGCGCGCGCACGCTGTATAGCGTGCCTTCTGGAAACTTAAATAGAACGATAGGATCGGTTTGGAGCACATGATGCATCCCAGATCTGTGAGCCGTTCACACCAGGGTGTCCGATGCGTCACGTTTTCCTCTACAGCAGGCTTGAAACCCTTGCTTGACTCGCCC